CTGGGCGTTGTTTGGGGTACTGTTTTGGAGAGGAACGATGTTCCTTACTAGGAACAGCAGCGACATAGGTTTAAAAGAGGAGGCCCAGGGAGAGAGGGGACTGTGGTGACGTTGGGAGTGAGATCAGACCTCATCTGGAGGCGTATGCCTCTGATGTTTGAGGCCGTTTGAGGGCTGTTACGTTGAGTTGGTCACTATTGGAGCGTCTCGACTACGCTATTTTGGCCATCATTGTGGGGCCCTCAGGCGAATCAAGACTACAAGGCCCTCTCCCGCGAGTCTGAGTGCACCTCTCCTGTACCTCGAGAGACTGAACGTTTCTACTTCTATTTTTCTCAGTCTAAGTCTAGTCTGTTGGTTACGAGAGGAAGGCGGCAGGCAGGATTGCAACCCGTAGGACCGCAGCAAGACCTTGTGGGAGGTCCACCCACCGATTGCGGGAGCTCTGCCGGAACCCAGGCGGGGTTGTGGAGGTAGGGAACTTCAGGTATAATTTCGTCTGACGCGTGTGATCCATTCCCCTAACTGTTATTCCTTTGGGTATCTGAATAATATTATGACAGGATATTACTTTTTGTTTTGCTATGTATGTCGGGACATATTCTTGGGAAGGCTAAATGAACAAGTATGTATGAGAGTTCAGATAAATTTTGAGTGGATTCAGACTGAATGAACAGGGGGAAGGTGGGATGAAGGTGGTTTGCATGCTTTGACCGGGTCAACCCAAGACTGAGCTCCTCTAAGTTGATGTGGGCTCAGTGTTGTGTTTTGCTTATGTTTGCTGGGCTGAATGTATGATATTGAGGACTGGGCCTATCCTAAGTTGGACGGACCATTCGCTGTTTTTTTCTAGGGTTTCTGAACAGGAGGATGGGCGCTTTAAGTTGGGATGTCTCAGAATCCTGATGTTTCTTTTCTGGGGGTTGTTGAAAACAGAGCTGGGAATACTCTAAGTTGCGTAAACCCAGTTCTGTATGTGTTTTTTCTAAGGGGGACACAGACATAAGGCTGAGCATACCCTTAAGTTAGGGCGGCTCTGTCATAAGCCATGAACAATAAGGATAATCAAAGTATAGAAATTTGATATATACTATATGAACTTATATTCTGGCAGGCCGAACACCCTGAGTTGGGAAAGCCAGTCAGTAAGTCAGGTAGAACAAGAAGAAAAGAAAAACAGTGAAGAATATAATGGAGGTAATCAGGGCAGACTGAGTGTACCCTTAAGTTAGGGCGGCTCAAACCTATGCTCGTGACAATATAAAGGTGCAGAGAATTAATATAAACTTGTTTTATTTTCCCTTCTAAACACAAGGCAGGATTGGATGTCTCCCTAAGTTGGGTAGGTCTGATTATCTGCCTAATAAGAGAGAAACATATGAAGTTTGTGCAAGTATCTATGGTTGTCCTCTTATATGGTCGTTACGGAGGCTAAGCGTACCCTTAAGTTAGGGCGGCTTAGTCATACGTCGTTTGCACCTTGTTTAGACAGATCATGCGTAATCTTAAGTTAGGGCGGCCTGATCATATTGTCTTATGTAACTAAACAGTTTAAGCAGTTAGGGCAGCCTAGTTATATGTTTTTGTCGTTGTTGTTATGTAGGTTGGACGTACCCTTAAGTTAGGGCGGTCTGACCATTCGTCGTTCGTACTTGTTTTAGGCAGGTTAGGCACACCCCTAAGTTGGGGCAGCCTAATCCTATGCCCTGTGTAATTTTGTGTAAGGCTGGCTAGACATACCGTTAAGCTAGGGCAGTCTAGTCTTATGCTTCATGTCGTAGTTTAAACAGAAGTAAGGCGTACCCTTAAGTTAGGGCGGTCTGGTCATATGTTTTATGACTAGAATTTATCAAGAGTTGGGCATACCCTTAAGTTAGGGTAGTCCAGTTGTGCGTACTTTTACTTGTTTGCTTAGGCAGGTTGGGCATACCCTTGAGTTAGGGTCCTGTCTGATATTATGCCATAAGTGAGGGGGGTTTTCTAAAGGGAAGAACTGAATGATCTAACGAACTACTTCGGCAAATCGATGTGGGATTGTGAGAGATGTATGTGTATGCATGCCTGTGGACTCTCACTTGGGGTGTCTTTTTCGATAGGATAGTTGCTTTAGATGCTCGCCAGGTGATGGAGCCATAGGTAGCTGAGATGGATGATGGAAGGGAGAACTTGGGATAAAGATAGGACTGACCCTGCTAGGAGTCAGGATCAGGGCTAGCCACAGGTCTCATCTAGAGGTTGTGCGGGCTATCATTGAGTCCGAATCATCAAGCAGGTGTCAGAAGTTAGTCTCAAGTATAGCTTGCTTTGTCTTTTTGTCTTTTCAGCTTCGTATAAATCTTGATAGCCTCCTGTTCCTACGGGAAGCGCTGCCGAAATTTCTACAAATCTGAAAAAAGTTAGTCGTTTTGAGCTTATAGAAATTCTGAAAAGACACTTTTCCTACGGGAAGCGCTGTCGAAATTTCGTAGAATTTCGGGAGTTATAATATTTTTCAGTCAGGGGTTACTTAGCACATCCATTATGATTAGATGTAATACTTGGTGACTTGGTACTAGTAGAGGAGCCAGGTTACGACTAGGGGAATGTTATCCCCTTGACAGAAACATAAGTAGTGTTTTTCTTTGGTCTATACTGTGATGCAGGTTTCCGTGTTATCATTTGAAGGTTTGATCTGATCAGCCTATTCCTTCAGAAGGTTTACTTCTCTGTTATCACTGATAACAGGTCGGTTGCCGATTCGTCGGTTTACGACTCAACCCCAATTCTCCCTCGATACCCAACCTAAAAAGGTTTTAGCCCTGATGATCTTACTGTTTTGTTGAGGTTTCACCCAGACTTTTATTAAATGGTCATTTAACAAAGGTACTGAGTATTTAATTATGGTTGGTTGGCTGGAGGTTGGCGCTTGCATGGCTAAAGCAATGGATATGAGTATAGAGGTTGGTTGGAGTTGACTCCGTGTAGTGTGTGGATCTTTGTTTCATTCTGTGATGTGATTGCAGGTATGTGTGGAAGTGTCTCGATTGATTCATGTTGAGAAATATTGCTATGGATTTAGATGGGCAAAGCCACACAACTGTAGTGAGAGTGAACTACCCCACAACCCTTTGTTTGAGTGAGACTGTTCTATTCCCGTTCTGATTTGATGATGATCCAAGTAAGTGTACGTCCGGGTAAACCCCCATAGGGCTAATCCCGACAATGTCGTCTCTAATGATATTATGAGTACTTGTTTTTCATTCTTGTTGAAAATTATTTTGGTGGAACGATAAAGTTTCGGGCGGAAGGGTTAGCGTGTCGCTGGTGATGCGCAAGACAACTCACCACCGCTCCAAATTCCTTCCTGCCCTAGGGGCCATCTTACCCCGCACCCTTTGGGACACCTCAGGGTGCAGAAGACGGAAAGGCCCTCAGGCCGGTTTTGCGCCCGCTAAAGGGTTACCTCCCCTAGCGCGCGCTTCAACCAACGCCTGAGCGCCGAAAGTAGCCACATGGCTCCGAAGAGGTCATTTGGGTATGGGCACACCATAATCCGCCGTCATCGCAGACACTCACGTAGAGCTGCATAGTGAATTGGTATGTGTAGGTGTTGCATCCACGCGATCTTATACTAAGTCCATGCACGCAGCACTTGCTGATTCTCGCACTAAAGGTAATGGGTTAGGCGGCGAGACCAAAAGCACGATATGGCCGATAGACCCGGGTGGGTTGGTATCGCGAAGTGACACATGGGCGGAGGACTAGTCTCAGTCAGCCTATGGGAGTTCGTGTACGGGCCTCACTATCCCGGACATCGGATAGCCTACGGGTAGGACTTTGGGCCGCCTCCGCATGCGCGCCGTTTGGGCCTGCCTACCCTTTTCATTCTAGAAGGCCACTTAACCAATGCGAGTTGGAGTAAATTTCTCTTTTGAGTTTTCATAGTTGGACGTTATAGTCCATGGCAGCCGTCAAAGTCAACCCCCTTGATATTTGACCGCCACGACAGTGAAAGCTGTCTACTCAACCCCTCTGCACAGGGTGCAGAAGAGGGTGTGGTCTTCAACCGCACATGGCGGTTGTCCGGCATCGGAAGATTACCCCTCGATGCACCTGTCAGCCGACACTTGAGTGTCGAACGTGACCCGCGAGATTATCAAGCGCCGCAAGGCTGAGAGTACCGAGCAGTACCCCATCAGCGCGAATGCTTGCGTACGTTCGCACGGTTGATTGACATGGGGAAGCCATGCGTTTACTCGACTTTTATACGAAATTATAGCGCGCGATACTTATCTGAACTTGCGGTATAAAGTTATGGGTCGGATACTGAAGGGATTAGGAGTTGTTGTATTGGGGCGTTGTTTGTGGCGTTTGTTTTGTGTGTGGTTCTATGCGTGGGTAAGTGTGGGTGTTGTAGTGTAACGCGTGGGTGTGTAGTGCGTCCTAGTCGACCGGCGTCGAGTCGCGTTTGGGATTTCAGCCCCCAGTACGGCGAGTCGCGCACGGGTTCGATTTTTGGGCGTTCGACCGTGCTTACCCCCAATGCTATAGCGAGCGAGAAAAGCCCTCGGCTAGACCACCTCTACAATTGCATACGAAAAGCCTTCGCATGTGGTTCAGTAGCTCGGCGGGGATACGCCCACCTAAGGGATGGTGACAGCTCCCACAGGTGGAGGTAAGCGGGGCCTCGCGTGACCCTGTCCTGTCGTAGGGGCTCGCGAGAGGTACGGCTGGCGCACTCGGCCGAAGCGGCAAACGCTCTTCGCGACAAGTCCTGCATATTCCTGCATGACGCGGCCGGGAGGGTCCCCGTGAGGGACCGATGCGCTCGACAGGTGGCGTCGTTGTCGGGGATCTCGGCTGCCTACCGGGGTCCTTAAGAAGTTAAGAGAACGAACCCAGGTTAAGAGCAGGCTGATGATCCAGGCAAAACGACAAAGGTTATAGGTCGGATTGAATAATATAAGAGGGGTGTATATAAAGTCATAGTAAGACTAAGTGATACAGAGTGTGACTAAAGGTTGTATCTTGGGCTTTGAATGACAAGTGGTAGGATGGTTAGTTAAACTTAGAAGCGGAGTGGTCAAGAATGACGTAGGGCAAGCCCTCTGAAACTTGACGAACTGCTTACCGGTCTATCCCTTGTTACTCCTGTCAGGTTGGTTAGCAAAAAGAGGTGAAGATGCCGGACGCAGATGGAATCGAGCGGGGCCCGGCCGCTACACCAGAAGATTTTGTCAAGACACTCAAGAAAAGGGAGTTGGCACGGCTACAAGTGCCAAAAATCGACATCTTCCATTTTGAAGGGGAGAGGGTGTCGAAATGGCTGAAGCTCCTGGAACAGGTTACAGCCGAGGTGCCTGAGGTAGATAAGTTCAAGTTCCTACCTCGATATATCTGGTGGGAAATCCGGCCTGAGATAATGAAAGTAGTTGCTGAAACAGGGGGAGACTGGGCAAAGTTCAAGGTTGAGATGCAAAGGCAATTCAAGTTAGGGGATGGCTTGCTGACTAAGACAAATTTGGAGATGCTAAAGCGGAATGAGTTCTCCACAGTGGGGGTCTTCGCCACAGCGTTCGAGAAGATGGCAAAGAAAGTCCCAGGGTTGGCGGAAGAGGAACAATGTGCCACTTTCCTGTGGCACTTTAAGAATTGGGAGGCCTCGTCGTTAACCAAGAAGGTTGCACCAGGAAAGAAACTGACTTGGGCTGCCATAAAGGAAGGCGTGATAGAAGGAGAACTGGACCAAGTAGACATTTTTCAGATGAGACAAGCCAGGAAGAAGAGGAAGGCTTTGGATGCCATCACGAGTGACGGACGCGATTTCAAGAAAATGATAGAGGACGCGGTAACCCAGCTCGACGTGGAGAAGGAGACGAAAAGAAAAACTATGGCGGCACCACAGACCCAAGGGAAAGTCAAAAAGGCAGTGGTGCAGGAGGAAGAAGAAGAAGAAAAGGAAGAGGGGCCTGAGCCACAGAAGTTGACAAAGGCCCTGAAGAAGGGAAGGAACTTGGCTCAGGGGGGGCAAGGCTCAGGGAGGGGTCAGGTCCCGCAAGCTGTAGCTATGCCACCCCCGGAGCCACCCAGTCAGGCTGCACCAGCACACTATGGGCCATGACCAGGTTGTGGACCTCCAAGCCATTGGCATAGGCATTGTTCATACACGTCATGGCCGATGAGTGGGCCGCATGGGTCATGTGCCGGACCGCCAATGAGCATGGCTTCCTGCGGCTGCCCGGGACCCCAAGCTCAGCAAGTGAGCCACCCAAACCCACCGCCGAGCCAACCCCAGTTGTCAGCTCCACAAGGTTTACAAGGCAATCAAGGCAGTGGACGTGGACAGAACCAAGGATGGGGCCGAGAGCGAGGAAATGGTGGCCAAGGAGGAAACGGCAGGGGGAACGGTGGTGGTAACTCTACAGGGGGAGGCAATGGGGACTGGACTGCATCGGGGAGTCAAGGCGGTCAAGAAGGTGGAAGAGGCGCTGGCAGAGGAAGGATAGATTGGAGGAATGTTATTTGTTGGCACTGCGGGCAGAAAGGCCATACTATCAAGTTCTGCCATGTCAGGAGGAATGACGAGGACGAATCTCTGTTCAGCACTAACTCTGACGTGGATATGTACGACAAATGGGGGTATTACCTTGACCCGAGGATCCCTGGCGGGACAAGGAAGGAAGCTCTACGACGAGCCGAGGGCAGCGCACTACCTGCCCCTCCGGCCATGTTTCGGATACGGTAGGAGAGAGAGGTCCGTAGTAACATCAGGGTGGAAGAGGTAGGAGAGGATGAAGAGGTGGAGCAAGAAAGGAAAGCCGATATTACTAAGGAAGAACCAATCATAGTAGAGTCCGACGATGAAATAGAAAGAGACTGCTGGAACAGGTCCCGACAGGTTGAGACAGGGGAGGATTACTAGAGGACGGCCCGACAGACAATGGAAAGAATGGAGGACCTGATAGACAAAGTCGGGTGGTACCAACAGAAGCAAGCTGATATGTATGAAAAGGTCAAGGAGTGGAAAGGTAAGGAACCACTAGTATACCTCTACGACCTAGGTCCAGGGTCGCAAGGAGGATCTGGTAACTTGCCAAACGTCACGACTTCGGGGCCAGCGCCAAGATCCGGAATGCCTTACAGATCACCCTCCAGGACGGGGAGGGTGCCACATGCTGTCAGGACAAGGGCTAAAGGGTCGGTGAGCCCCAAAGAACCGGCGAAGAATGTTCCTGAGATAAGTGGAGAAAAGGAGGTAGTGGACGTTCCAGAAGAGGAGGATGATGAAGATGATAGGTTGAGAAAAGAAGAGGATGAGAAGGTTGAGCAGAGAGCCAAGAAGAGAGATGCCAAGCCTGATACAGACAAGGCACAGGAAGTAAGGAATAAGAAGTACGTCGCTCGAGTAGAAGAGGGGTACGATGTACAGGAAATAATGGACAGAATCCTTGAGGGTCATAATCACCTTATGAACCTGAAGGACGTACTAGCCTCAGCGCCAAGGCTCCGAGATGAGCTAAGGGCACGATTATCCAGGAAGATGGTGGCCAACATACGGTTAGGGACTATAATCCCCAAGGAGGCTGAGTGGGCTGAAACAGGTACTAAGATGGACAAGAAGTTTGTCGCCTGTGGGTGCCTCGACGTTGTGGTGAAAGGGAAGACATGCACTGCAATGGTGGATAGTGGAGCGAAAATGAACCTCATAAAGGAGGAACATGCCGTATGGCTGGGAATGGAGGTAGACCGCTCTGACAACGGGGTTTTGATGGGGGCCAACAGTCGATCGGTATTCATTGGGACCGCGTCGTCAGTGATATTGGAGATTAGAAAGGTGAAGGTCGGAAGCTGTTTCTTCATGATGCCCGATTTGGACCACCCTATCTTATTAGGGAGGTCATTCCTGAGTCGGACAGAGACAGTCATCCTCAACAAACATGACGGGACTATGTTCCTCGTCCTGTGCGACCCCGTATGCAGGAACTATGAGGTCATCACTTGCAAAAATACAGGACCCAAGAGTATCAGGAACCGGCCCAACCCTGACTCATTCACGATTGAATAGTCAGAAGAAGAAAGACTAAGGATTGAAAACAGCAGACTTGAGGAGGTAAGAGGGCCGGAAGCTTTGACTTTGAGCCTCGCAAACATAGGCGATGCTATGGACATAGTGTTGACCTATGGGATGGCGGACCCTGAGGCTGTGGAGGCCTTGAGAAAGAAGGTAGTGGAGCAAATGGGCGCAGGGGAGATGGAACTGGTATATCGAACGCCTGGGAAAACAAGTGGGACAAATGGAGCACAACGCCAAAGTGCAACTCGATCTTTTTTAGGGGTGGGCTCAAACAGGGTGCACAAAGGCGGTACAAAAGGGTAGATCAGAAGTGTCGCCCTGTTCCCGTACTCGTTACGAAAGAGCAGGAAGTATATTACGAGCGGGAACGAGAGTTGATACGGCTGATGCGAGAGAAAGTGGAGAGTGGACCATGTCGTATCAGTCCCGTGACAGAAAAGGCGCTGATTGTAGGGGAGTCTGGCTTCCTTACAGCGCAAGAGAAGAAACTTGTGATGGAAACTATAAGAGGAAGGCATGCTGCATACGCCTTCAGTGATGATGAGAGGGGACGTCTGGATGTGGATATAATCCCAATGATTAGGATACACACCGTACCTCACGAAC